GGATGGCGAGGAGGACGGCATTGGCGTCGGCGACCTGGATCGCTCGCTCCAGCAGATGCTGCGGGCCATAGCCGAGGAGAGGAGCCGCCTCAGCATCCGCCACGAGATCAGCGGCCTCGGTGAGGGGATGGGGAAGAAGGGGCTGAGGGAGCAGCAGCAACAGCAGCCTGGGCGGCCTCGGCGCCTCTGCCTGGGCCCTCAGATCGGTTGCATGGCGGGCCTGAGCTCCCCCCCCAGAATACCAAAAGCCACTTCCAAGGCACTTCCTCTATTCCCTGCCATAGGCCCTCTGCACTTCCTCAAGGGCACACGCTTGTGCCTAGCACCCACTTCCTGGGCTCCTTTACAAAGAAAAGAGGGGCCTTTTATGGCCTGCTTCCCCTCCTCACCTCCCAAAGAACCAGGCATCCTTCTACTAAAAAGAATTTTAACGAATCGATTCGTTATACCCTTAACGGATCGACCCCGCGCCAATAACGAAGCTTCGGAAGTGTTTTTACGCATGCGCGGGGGTCCGCCATCTTTACAAAATGTTTTGTAAATATTTACGAAATTTCGTAAATACCAAAACTTTTTTTGGGAAAATTTTGTAATTATTTTAAATATCGAAACAAAAAAACACCCCAATTACAAATCGATTTTAGAACCAAATTTTTTCTTGATCAACCAGGCCTACAGAACATAGAAGAGTGGTTTTCAGTGGGTTCTAACATGCTATCAGCAGAATTGTATCAAACAGCTTCCGGATCTGAATGAACTGCAATTTGTTTCTGGTGTGAGAGAATTGGCTGTCTGCAACAACATTGCCCAGGGGACACCCAGATGTTTTACCATCCTGTGGAAGGCTTCTCTCATGTCCTGGCATGGGAAGCTGGAGCTGACAGATGGGAGCTCACCCTGCTCCCCGGATTCAAACCGTCAACCTTTCGGTCAGCAGTCCTGCCAGCACAAGGGTTTAACCAATGGCACGACCGGGGGCAATGGGTTAGACTCACTGCCAGCCTTGGCTAGATAGACAGAAAATTAACTTTTTATAGGGCAGCTCCATGCCTGTGTGTAAGCAGTGGTGTCATGAGGACAACATTTATGGGGAGACACTCAACAGAACTTGCCACACTCAGTACAATGAGCAGGCAGATCTCCCTAACACAGCAAGTCTGGTTTTCCACATTTTGAAGGGAGGGAATACAAAATCCCATTTTAAACAATAGGGGAAATATTAAGTCATAAGTCTAACATTACATCACTAGACTACTGTGCACAAACACTAAACTTCCCATAGACCTCTGGATTGGTGATAGTGAAAGGTGAAGCTTTAAGTACAGAATGAGAACTGTTCTCTTCATATAGCCTTCATTTTGTTCCATATGAAACATTGTGTTGGCATAATGCAGTTATTATTCACAAGAAGTATGTTACTAGTTGTATATCAATCATAGAGTGACTTGTTATCTCATTCACTGTTTTGTTGGATTGCAAAACTCCAGATGTAAATAATTTCCCTAGGACCCATGGAAGTTAGCTATTTTGTCTGGCTCTCCATCCCTCCCTTAAAGGCTGGGAGAAGTAATGAGTAGCATTGCTGGCATTCCAGGGGCAGCTACATATGTCAGGTTGAATACATGTCTACATTTCGGACCATCTCTTCCAAACACAGATATACAGTAGTCTGGAGCAGTGTTTCTCAAACTGTGCTTCTTCTGATGTTTTAGACTTCAGCTCCCATAATTCCTAACAGCTTTTGACGGCGCGTGTGGCGCCACATATATTTAGAACTGTTAGTTGCAGGATTTAAACTGCCATTTTATTCCTGTCTACCTTGTATATGTATAGTTAAATTTCATTGGTTATTATAGCTGTCAGTTTATTGTTGTTGTGCACCAATTGGCTTGTTTCCCCAGTTCATTTGTTTAGGCTCCGCCCCTTCCAAGGGAGAAAGGAAAGGTATCTCTCTCACCTTTTTTACCTCAGAAAAAGACTCATTGGATGGACGTGTGCAAAGCTTGGCCCAAAGCCCCTGGTCAAGGCATTTTTTACTACCAACTCTTAGGTTTTGACCCCTGAGTCTTATTCTTTATGTTCAAACCTCCTGAACGAAATTGTGAAGACCTCAGGCGCCTTCATTCCGGTTCTTTGGCACCATAGGAAGGTCTTGTCCTTCAACTTAGGCCACTGAACTGGGGTTGTGGTTTGCTCCGGCATTCACAACCATTGAGAGAGAGGGAACAGGAAAAGCTTCTCAGCTTATAACTCCTAGGACCCTGGACTTTAGAGTTTATAAAGTGTTTTTCCCTGTTGAAACATCAAGTTTGTGCCTAAGAAAGAGAACTAATTGTCAACAATAAACACCATTTCGAGTTACTTGTTGTGTTCTGGTCCTTGGGAGTTCCAGTTTCCCTAAAGGAGGGCAAGAAGCAATCCCCTGGGGAAAGAAGTCACGTCCATGCCTCTTTCTCTATAGCCCCAGGTGCGACTGCATACAGCTGGTAAGCTAGCTGGGATTTCTGGGAACTGAAGTCCAAAACACCTGGAGGAACACAGTTTGAGAAACACTGGTCTGGAAGGTAGCTCAAGACTTTCCCATGAGGTGACTGATGTCAAGATCAGTCACCTCTTTCACTAAGTCTACATTTTAACATCTGATACTATACAGTACAATTATAACCAACCTGTACATACTCGGAACTGGGTTTTAAGTATATAAGTTGGAAGCCCTTACCAGGAACCGCAAAGTAGCTTCTCTGACAGTGCTTCTGAAATGGTCATACTCTTTTAAAAGCACCAGGGTAACACATATGATCAGCACAGTAACCTGAGGTCACTATTCTCCTGTTTTCTTTGCCCTGTCCCATAATAAGGTTGAAGCCACACCTTAGGTTCTCACCACCCTCAGATATTTCATGCAGAAGCTTCCTTGGGAGTGATTGTACAAAATCTTTCAAGTCACATAACTCTAGTGCTTCCCACAGTTCAAGATCAGAATGTTTCCCAAGAGGATCCAAGTTGAACTGAAGTGTCCCTGAGAACAAGACTGGGTCCTGTGGAATAATGTTGAGACAGTAACTCAATAGAGCAAAACAGTAATTAGAACATTAAAAATAACAGAATTTCATAGCATTTATGAAGGATTTTTTGCCGCATTCCAGCTTTGGGTTTCATTGTGATATTAGAAACAAATCTTTTAAATGATAATTAAGTTTTAATAAAGTGTCTATTAGTTTGGAGAAGTTCTAAATTTCTGTTGAAATGGTAAAATCACTGGTAAGTTGGTAGTAAGAGCAAGCAAACTACACTTTATAAGGTCATCTGTAGCTACTAAGGACCAGATGGAAGAGAAAAGCATACTGGAGGAAAAGTACCAACATTTACATGTGCTTTCACAATATGTAGTATGCTCAGCAAATACTTGTCTCATTTTTCAAAGTACAAATAATTATTTTCATTACAGCAGTTGGATACAATTAATGTTATGGTCAGTCACATCCAAATAAAACACTTATGGAAGATGTACTTCAAAAACAGTGTACATTTACATAAAACAACACAGTATAGCTATGACCAGGAATATTTCCAGAATGCCTGCCTACAAACCTCTAGGAATTTTAGATGTCATTTGCTTTGTTGCTTATTTCCACAGCTATAACTTCTACCATCAGCCTATTAACAGCACATTAAAATGAATAGAATGGACACAATGGGTTCCACTTTAAAATATATTTATTAGAGTTATAAATGGTTTTGAAATAAATTATGGAACTCAAAAGCCTTTCAACTGAGACTTTAAAATTGTTTTCAATCCGCATATAAGTCATACATATGCACAAAAGATGTTACCTGAGGAATAATGTTGAGGTTTCCCCGCAGGTCGTGCAAACCTATTGTTGCTATGTCAATGCCATCTATTATTATCTTGCCTCCAGCTTTTTCCAGTATTCTAAACAAACAATTGGTGAGTGTTGATTTTCCAGCTCCTGTTCTTCCAATAATTCCAATCTGCAATGAGATTCCTTGTCATACAGCATGCGTATTCTATCTTATGATATTGTGTGATGTGTGTAGATAATATTAGAACTGATTCTTTGAAACTAGAAGCCTTCAAAAGCCACATACATGCACACATACAGCTTAATGGTGTACCATTACAAAATGTTGACCATTTCCGCTACCTTAGCAGCCACCTCTCCACAAAAGTCAACATTGACACTGAAAAGCAACACCGCCTGAGCTCTGCGAGTGCAGAATTTTTTTGAATAAGAGAATGTTTGGGGATCGGGACATCTATAGGGATACCAGGTGCTTGTTTATAAAGCTCTTGTCTTCCCAATCCTGCTTTACGCCTGCAAAACGTGGACTGTCTACAGATGTCAGATTCAACTCCTGGAACAAGTCCATCAGCCTTCAAAAAAAATCCTGCAAATCTCTTGGGAAGACAAGTGGACAAATGTGAGCATGCTGGAAGAAGTAAAGACCACCAGCATTGAAGCAATGCTCCTATGCTATCAACACCAATGGACTGGCCATGTTGTCCGAATACCTGATCACCATCTCCCAAAGCAGTTACTATACTTCCAACTCAAGAATGGAAAATGGAATGTTGCTGGACAGGAAAAGAGATTTAAAGATGGGCTTAAAACTAATCTTAAAAACTGTGGCATAGACACCGAGAACTGGGAAGCCCTGACCTTTGAGCACTCTAACTGGAGGTAAGGTGTGACCAGCAGTGCTGCGGAATTTGAAGACGCAAAAATGGAAGGCGAAAGGGAGAAATGTGCCAAGAGGAAGACACATCAAGCCAACCCTGACCAGAACCACCTTCCATCTGGAAACCGAAACCCTCACTGTGGAAAAACATGCAGATCCAGACTAGAGCTCCATTGTCACCTACATATCCACCACCAAGACACTTCACTTGGAAGGCCGTTATACTCAGACAACGAGGGATAACCTAAGTAAGTAAAAGTACTCCTCATACTAAAAACAAACAATGAGATTATACCAAATTACCTACAAAAGTATTTAATTATCTATTACATTTTTAAAAGGAAAGAGGAAAAACAGAAGTTTTCATCTAGTGTAAGTTACCTTCTCTTCTCTTTGGCTTTGAAAAGATATGTCCTGCAGAGCTAAGTCTAAATCTGATCTATACTGAGCTTGGTAACTGACAAACTGTATCACTCCTTCATTGGGCCATCCTACAGGTGGTCTCTTGGAGAGTATCCAGGGGGCCTAAAATAGAAAAAGATGGACAAACATTACCTTGTCTGTATTATTTAGAAGTTTATACCTGAATAATAGCACTTGATTCAGCCAATTGATAAGGAGGAGACACAAATAATAGAAAGAATCCAATGGCCTTCAGAACTGAATGGTGACTTGAACCCAGATCTCCCTGCTTCCCGAGCTAACACAGATGTGCTAAACTGTGCAGCAGTTCACAGATTCTGGGATGAAAATAAGGGAAAATGTGGAATTAATTGGGAATAGAGTATCATGAAAATTGCCTGGTATTGCTATTTTATTTACAAGTAAACAAAAGGCCCTCCTCCTCCCCCCAGGTAAGTGGACATAGAACTGCAGTGTGAACCCATGCAATTAATAAAGAGAGATATACAGGGAAAAGCATAGACATTGTTCATAGAATGAATAAGATTTATACAAGCTTTCACTAACCATTTCACCACACATTCACTAGGTTTATGATATTATTACTAATATGTTTCAGACCCAGTTTAATTTTCCGCCTACATACTATTTTCATTTCTTGAAAAATGCTTACCTCTTTGTCTATTGTAGCATACTCACAAACTCTCTCAATAGAAACTCCATTGGTTTCAATTTCACATGCTTTTCGAACCCAGAAATTCAAACTTTGAGTTATCTGAAATAAAGGATTACTTCTTTATTGAATAAGTTTCCATCATTTTGCTTTGTGACATATATGTAATTACAGAAATCCACCACGTAAATTGAAAATACAGAACAAGGTGCTTTTTGATTACCCAAAACACTTTATCTATATTCCAAGCTGTTAGAAACACTGATTAGACATGCTGGAATGCCAAAGGTTGTCATATCATGGCATGTTGCTGCATGATAGACAACCAAGAAAAGGCATAGCAAATAACGAGGATCCAGTGCTTCTAAAACCATCATCAGGATTGTTGTTTTCATTCCCCTGGAGAGCACCCAAAAATAACTCCAGAGGGGTTTCTAGCCCTCTAGAGTATGTTTTAGGTCACCCAGTGGGGTTCAGGAAGAAACTAGAGAATCATTACCAAGGTCCAAGCATGTATTTGTGTTTTATTTCACAGTTTCCACTGGTAAAACTTGGGGGTCCTTCCACACAGCCCTATATTCCAGAATATCAAGGCATAAAATTCCACAATATCTGCTTTGAAGTGGGTTATCTTGAGTACACGCTCAAATAATGTGGGATTTCCTGCCTTGATATTGCGGGATATAAGGCTGTGTGGAAGGGCCCTGAAAGAAGGGATAATTTCCCATTTTCTGGCAAGTCTTTTGTACCATTAATAGCTGAATTGCAAAGATATTGAACAGGTAATACTTTCAAAACAATGGGACAACTTCACTGGTTGAATTGTAGTTGATCCTGCACATATAAAAGCCAAAGAACACAAATGATAGACAATTCAGTTTTCAATCCTACTTGCAAATACTGTAATTGCACTTTAAAAAATGCTTACTTACAACAAATTACTTACATTCAGTGCATAGGAGATTGATAGTCCCATTGTAGCAGAATCCATCTTACTGCCAGCAAACATTGTAAACAACGCAGCAAAAAATACCATCAAGTTACCCAGAAATTCAAGTCTGATAGCCAACCACCTGTAATAAATGCATAATTAGAATCAAAATGACTGGGATTTCATGTCTATTTCACATGGATTTGATCAGAACTATATTACATATCTCTGCAGTCAATGCCTTCCATTAATAATTATGCAGTACTTATGGTGCATTTTATTCTGAAGAGCACTTAACCATTCTGTAGAAACAAACAGTTCTGTGAATACTATGCAACTGGTTACCTTTTAAAAAGGAGGCTTCAAAATACACATTACTCATTTTAAAAATGATATTATAGTCAATGGTAAGGACTTTGGTGTTGTGGTCATTTACGAGAATCATGTCTCCTATTGAAACTGATAGTTTCAAGAACGCTTAACATTTATTGGATCACATTGATGCAACTTGAACCTATGTATGTTTCCCGAGGCATGTGTTTCTTAATGTTTAGTGGACAAAACTTCCAAGGAAGACTCCACAGGAATACAGTCTACAAAAACTAGGGCTGTATCTACACGGCAGAATTATAATAATTTACAATAGTTTGACACCACATTAACCGTCATGACTGAATGCTAAGGAATTCTGCAATTTACAGTTTGTGAAATATTTACCCTTCCCTGCCAGAGAGATCTGATACCACAACAAACTACAACTCAGGATCCCATAGGATAGAGTTATAGTTGTTAAAGTAGTATCAAATTGCTGTAACTGTGCAGTGTGGGTAGTCTCTAGAATTTAATTCCTATTACATTCTCCTACTGGAATGAGCTCTCCTCCGTAAATTACCTGCTTCCCTCTTTTATCTTGGCCTACTTTTTAGTTAGTTTTAATCAGTTTGTCTTCCTGATTACTACATGTCACCCACCCATTATTATAGTGCCTGTGCATATTTTTTTTATTTTTAATGTTGTTATGTATTCATGTCTTTTGTTTAATTATGATGTTGTTGTTTATTGTTCTCTTTTTGGTTTGTGTTTTGGTTTTCTTTATTGTAATTGTTGTTTGGGCTTGGCCTCATGTAAGCTGCTCTGAGTCCCCATTGGGGAGATGGTGGCGGGGTAACAAATAAAGTTGTATTATTATTATTATTATTATTATTATTATTATTATTATTAGTACTTGTCCACATAGTTCTGAGTAAACTGCACATACTGTAACTGCGATGAGAAGAGATACTGAACCCCAGCATGTTTTAAAATGCTAGAGTAAAATCACAGACTCATAAAATCATGGGAGTTGGAAGAAACCACAAGGGTAATCCGGTTCAACCCTCTGCCATGCAGGAACACACAATCAAAGCTCCCTGACAGATGACCATCCAGCCTCTGTTAAAAAAACCTCCAGAGAAGGAGACTCCGCCACACTCCAAAGCAGCATATTCCACTAACTAATATTTAGGTGGAATCTCTTTTCCTGCAGTTTGAGTCTATTGCTTGTGTCCTAGTTTCTACAGCAGCAGAAAGCAAGCTTGTCTCCCTCTGCAATGTGGCATCTTTCAAATATCAAACATGGTTATCATGTCCCCTCTGAACCTTCTTGTCTCTAAGCTAAACATACTAGCTCCTTTTTGGACTTGGAGATTAAACTAACTTTGATTAGGTAGAAAATCTATTGAGTAACTGGGATTTTTCCATACTTCCTGGAAATCACTTTCAAACAGATCTGAGTACATATATGTCTTTATAGAAATAATAAAAAAACAGGAACACAAACTTTAATGATACATTTTCAAATTAGATCTCTTGATAAAGCTAAATTTATTAGGGGAACACTTTACTAAATAACAGATCAAATCAAGTAAAATATTTATTTCCAGTATTTGTGGAATTGTAAATACAGTACAACATTGAAAAATACTTTATGAAAATCAATCCTTTTATCTTTTGTTGATATAAATAGGAATTTAGCCTGATCATATATATATATATATATATATATATATATATATATATATATATATATATGATATTTATATGTTATAGCCCCTGGTGGGGCAGCAGGTTAAACCACTGAGCTGCTGAACTTGCTGACCAAAAGGCTGGTGGTTCAAATCCAAAGAGTTGGATGAGCTCCCACTGTTAGCCCCAGCTTCTCCCAACCTAGCAGTTTGAAAACATGCAAATGTGAGTAGATCAATAGGCACCACTTCAACAGGATGGTAACGGCAATCCATGCAGTCATGCTGGCCACAGGACCTTGGAGGCATCTATGGACAATGCCGGCTCTTCCGCTTAGAAATGGAGATGAGCACCACCCCCCAGAGTCGGACTCGACTAGACTTAATGTCAAGGGGAAATCTTTACCTTAATTTATATAAATCTTAGTTTTCTCCAATGTGGCATTATCCAGATGTTAGAGGACTACAGCTCCCCTTATCCTAACCACGAAGAACTGCTGGGAGCTGTAATCCAAAACAACTGAAGTTCCACAGATTAAGGGACAGCTATCCTAGATGGTTAATATATTACCTGTTTGAAATCACATTGTTGTAGAAGCAGACCAAGTTTTCATTGACCACATCTTTATTTTGGTCAATAAATCTTTCCTGACATCCATAGGCTCTAATGGTAGACACACCTAGAAGTGTTTCACTGAAGTGCGAAATTATAGGTGTCCGTGAAGCTCCGGCCAGACGTCGGATTTGTCGAGAGCTAGCAATATAGTATCTCTAATAACAACCATACAAAATGAAGAACAAGTGAGAGGTTGCCATATAGAGCTAAAAAGGTTAGGGAAAACTTTCTGTGTTGGTATATGAAAGAGTATTGGGTAGCATGTTATTTCACTGCACCAATGGCTTCAGAAGCAACATTTATCCCTGGTTTCTTCATTTGTATGCCTGAATCCAAGCTCAGTGATGGCAAACCTTTTAGAAACCAAATGCCCAAACCAGGGGTGAGCAGGAGCAAGGGGGGAGGGAGCAAGCGGGGTGGGCAGGCATTGTGATATGCAAGCCAATTGCCCAAGATAATCTGATTACTCTCTTTTTCTGTCAAAATAACACAACTTACAATAAGAAATTGTGAAAAAACATGGTATGTTTAGCTTACTTGGATAGTGAAATACATGTATCCCAGTGGAGCCACTACTAGTATGAAAAGGGGTGATGCAAATACAATCACAAGAATTGTTCCAACAACATCCAGGGTACAGTTCAGCCAGGTCCGCAGATAATAATGGAAACGTATATCAACTATAAACATGTCCTATGATAGTGCACAAGAAAAATCAAAGTCATTATGAAAATGTCCTTCTTATTCATACTTGGAGAAGAAAATTCTAATTTCCAACAGTCTTCCTCAACTTAATAGCCTGTAAATGTTTTAGCATCTGACACTCAGCATTCCTGAACACTGGCTATATTGACTGAAAGGAGCTGAAGTCCTAAACACATATAATAAGTAGTCCGTTGAGGATACTTTCTCTACCACATTCTTCTAGAGTGTCCATCCCTAAAGATCTCCTAGACCAGAGACATTTAAAGGCCAGAAAGAAGTTCCCATAAAGGAAATATAAAAGCAGCTGGAATGTAATTGTCTACACATGGTAGTGTGTTTGGTCAGCAATGTTCTGGAATGCCTTCTACTTTTTGATGCTTCCAGATAGGACAAGAACTGAAATATAGGAAAGAATACAGGTTTTGCTATTTTACTACCAGGCAGTAAAATAGACAAAGCTCCGGGAGGAAATGAAGTAAAACACAAGTATTTTTTCCAGACCAAAGGATGAGAGGTGTCACCCTCCACTCATTTCCCTAAACTTGAAATTAGGACGTTTATTTTTTTCTTTACCTTAGTAAACCTGTTGATGATTTGACCTACAGGATTTGTTTCAAAATACTGAAGTGGAAGATGCAGCACATTTTGTAGCATCTGGCGATGTAGTGCCCGAGAGGCACAAAGAGATCCTCTAGTAAGGACATAAGCACCAAAACAAACCAAAAGACCTTGAGTAATAAATGATATAAAAGTCAGTGTTAGCAGTTTTCAAGGCTGCTTCACAATAGCGGTCTCCCCATCCATCAAATCTATCTATTCACTAGCCTTGCATCTGGGGATTGCTACAATTCAGCTGTATTCAATTGCTAAAATTAGACCCAAATGTATTTTACTCCATCTTCAGTGTCATAAAATCCATGTTTAAATAATATAAATAATGCAAAAAGTACAATAGTAGAGCCAACTAGATTTCTGTGCATTAACACTGGAAAAGGGATGCCAGCTATTTACAGGACATGTGCTTCTACACTGAGGTATATCTTCTAAAGAACTGCTAATATCTTTCTTCTCTTATTGACTACACTAATTGTATAACTTCAGTGATTTTGAATCCACCCTCTCTGTGGGTCTCCTGAGAAAGAAGAAGAGATAATTGACATTAAAAGTGTGGTTCAGCAGGATATGTTCAGAGTTTGCTTTAACTTCAGATATGCATGAGACACAAACAACTGCTCATCATTTGCATATGTCTTCAGCATTGCAACATGCAAACATCATGGTAAGAATTCATTCTATTGCCTAGAATGCCTAGAATGGGAGCCTATGGAACACACTCCCAAACGAGGTAAGATCTGCTCCCTCCCTCCTGGCTTTTAGAAAAAAATTAAAATCATGGTTCTGGGACCAGGCCTTCGGACAGTAGATGTATGTAGCATTTTAGAGGGACATTGACTGGAACGGCGATTCAACTGACAAGACTGTTTTCTTGTCTTAATGCTTGTTGATGTATTGTTTTAATTACGATTTATGTTTAATTGTGGTTTTACTATTGTAATTGTTTGTATTGGCATCATATCGGTGCCCAATGTAAGGCATTGAATCTTGCCATTATTTATGTGTAAACTGCTTTGAGTCCCCCCAGGGTGAGAAAGGCAGTATATAAATACTGTGAATAATAAATAATAAATATCTAGAACCACCAGTGGATCTCCACTGCAGAAGTTCTAGAGCAGTGGTTCTCAACCTGTGGATCCCCAGGTGTTTTTGCCTACAACTCCCAGAAATCCCAGACAGTTTACCAGCTGTTAAGATTTCTGGGAGTTGAAGGCCAAAACATCTGGGAACCCACAGGTTGAGAACCACTGGTCTAGAGCTTGCTGGATCTCTACTCCTAGAATTTCTCACCACTAGCCATACTGATTCTTGACCCTACCCAGACAACCTGCAATTGACCATCCATATGAGAAAGAGGTTGCATGAAGACTTGCCAAAAAGCTTAAACCAAGTCACTGCATGTCTGATTAGTAAAGGCTATCTGATTACAAAAAGTCTGGAATTATTAAATTAAAGAAATGTCAAGACAGCTAAATTGAAATAGAAAGGAAAATGGTCTGATTACTCATACCCTGTATGAATCCTAGTAGCCCATAGATCCTGAGGTTGTGGTTTCTTAAAAGTTTCCATTCCGCAATATCTTTAATATGTTTTGCTTCTGTTGTCCATGTGCTAAGCCACATGTTTTGTCCTATGGCTACAGCATTTTGACCTAAGTAAGCTACTATGGTTAGCCACATCCATGACCAGCCAAAAGCTTGTAGGTATTTTGAAATCACTGACATTTTCATCTGAATGTAAGAGATACAAATTAGAGTTACTATAACACAGAGAAACAAACCAATCTTTGAAAGCTAAGTGTAACCATGCAATCCTAAACTGCTGATTGCAAGGAGTTTGGATGGGGTGGAAATTAGATTCAAACAGGATGGGAGAACAGAAATATAAAGACCTGATGTCTTCCCCCCTCTACAAACAAAGTAACTATTATAAGTCAACAAGGATTTGGGAAGGTAGATCATCTGTCAATTCACTCCTTCATTCACCCAGATCAGAATCTGGAAATACAACTTTAGATTCTGACTCCCAATATCCAGAAAACCAGGCTTCAGGGAGACTGCAAATGACCCACGGCCACATGTTTCCCACTTTTGTTCTAGAAAGATGCAAACAGAAATTTGAAACATATACTTACAGTCCCAGTAGCAACTTTTTCCTTTTTCATTGAGAACAAGCTCCTTTCAAACAAATTGCAAAAATGTTATTTTACACTATGGAAAAATAAACACAGAATTCATCTACACTATAATAATAATAACAACAACAACAACAACAACAACAACAACAACAACAACAACAACAACAAATCTTTATTTGTACCCTGCCACCATCTCTCCAAAGGGACTCGGGGAGGCTCACAGAAAAACTCAAAGTGCCACATACTCAAACAATACATAAGTATCAATACAATTATATCAGTACAATCAACAGCACATAAAAATCTCACTGATAAAATTATAAAAGTATGAAAATTATAAAATTCCTAAAACGCAATAGAGCCTATGGGCAAGCCAGCTATCTGTCGTAACAATCAAAGTGTGGGCCAGCGCTATCCACGATTCACTAGCTATGTCTTTTTAATTTTTCAATAACTACGAAGTGCAGGGCAGAGTGGGTTCCTATTTTACAAGATGCAAAACTGGTGAGCAACTAAGGGCCCCTTCACACAGTCATATAATCCAGAATATCAGGGCAGAAAATCCCACAATATCTGCTTTGAACTAAGTTATCCACACTGCCATATATTCCAGTCCAAAGCATATAATGTGGGATTTTCTTCAGCTGTGTGGAAGGGACCTGAGCCTCAACCCTATGCTAAATGCATGAGTGGAGTGTTGGAGAAGCAGCCCAGCTGATTTTATTTTATATCAATGCTACAGTCTGGAACACAAATAAACGCCACTGCCTTTCACTGATAGTAAGGCACATTTTTTTCAACCTCACTTTCCTGCTTCAATACATTCACCCATAACAGTCATATCACTTCATTCTGGAAGTTTTGGCACACTCAAGGCTACCAGTGGAGTCGCAAATGCTGTCTGGGTTTTAGTCCGACTTTAAAAGTGCTGACCTATTTTGGTGACAGAGTTCAGGTGAGATACGCTGTTTCGTTTCTGAGTGCAACACCAGACATATGACACATTTTAGTTCTCTTCCTTCCCCCACCCCAACGTTTGTCTGTTAAATGGAATAACTGAAAGAGTTTGCTTGTGTACTCACTTATTTTTATTCTCCAACTGTTCCATTTTCTTTGATACAATGTAGTCTTTCATTTTAATATTATCCTTTGGATAAGATTCTACAGAAACAATATAATTTTAAAATGATTATTATGTCAATTATCCACTTTTAAAATTATGATATACTGTGTTAGATACAAAACGATTCCTGTGAAATACATTCTGGCAGTGGCAGTGTTTCAAAAACAGTTATAAAACTGATTTTTCTTCGTGGTCTCTGCGAATGCACACTTGTGGAGAGACTGCGCCTGCGCGGGCTCCAACGGAAACTTCTACATTTTAAAACTTTTCAAGTTTTGGCGGTAACCCCGCCCAGCCCCGGCAGGGGATAAAAGGGCGCCCTGCGCACACCGATCCAATTCCTTTTTTTCCGCCGCACGGCTCGCTTCGGTACTTCTATTGGATATTGATGGATAGTGATTCTACTAGAGTTTCTCCGAGTTGTTCGACAATATTATGTCAACAACTCGCTTCAAAATCCCTGATTCGGACAAGCACGCTCTTTGCCTTTTGTGTCTCGGAGAGGCACACATTACTTCTTCGTGTCGTCATTGTCAATCGTTGACGGCACAGTCCCGTAAAAACCGGGTCCATCGACTTCGATACCTCCTGTACCAGCAGACGTTGGCTCCGGTACCTTCAACATCAACATCGGCGTCGACGTCAGCCGCGGTATCCAGGCCTTCGACATCAGCTTCGACGTCGAAGGAAGCATCGACATCGAAATCTGTCGGTCCCTCGGCGGAGGCCGAGCCTCGCCAGACAAGGACGAAGAAAGCTGCGCAGAAAAGGCCGAGAGCAGCTATGTCGACAAGGTCTAAGACCTCGGTGTCGACAGCTTCCAAGGCTACAAAGCCTACAAAGCAAAAAGCTCCATGCACGGTCATGACCGAGACCGTACGCATCCGGCACTCTTCGACCAGCTCCGTGGCGTCGGTGAGATCGATCAGGTCCACGAAGTCGACATCGGCGACTCCGCCATCTTCCACGGCGGTTCGCATTGCTTTTCGCCGGTCTCAGGAAGAGTCTCGGCATGCTTCCACCTCATCCTCCGTCCCGCCCACCCCGGGCAAGTCGGTGTCGAAGACAGCTCAGCCACCGGCAAAGAAGAAGAAGACGATGCCGCCTCCATCCTCGTCTTCTTCTTCTTCCCGAAAGCAAACCACCAAAGATTGTCGACGAAGGCTATAAAGAAAAAAAAAAAAAAAAAAAAAAAAAAAAATAAAAAAAAAAAAAAAAAAAAAAAAAAAAGAGAAAAAAAAAGAAAAAAAAAAAAAAAAAAAAAAAAAAAAAAAAAAAAAAAAAGAAAAAAAAAAAAAAAAAAAGAAAAAAAAAAAAAACAAGTCAAAGACAGCTCAGCCGCCGGCAAAGAAGAAGAAGACGATGCCGCCTCCATCCTCGTCTTCTTCTTCTTCCCGAAAGCAAACCACCGCCTCCTCGGCCACCTCGTCGGCGAGGTCATCGCCGTTGCAGCCTGCTGAACCCCAGCTGGCCCCACAGCCTGCTCAGGAGCCACAACTTCTGCTGGAACAGCCTTCGGAGCAACCCGAGTCCCCGGTGATCTCGGTGGACACGGTGATCGAGGCACCAGCTCGACATGTGACAGCCAGACAGGAGCTTTTCCCGTCGGTCACGACCTTGACAACTGTGATGGCAAGACAGGAGACTTCTCCAGTGCTGGAGACTCCGGAAAGGGGCAGGCAGACTATGAGACTGGCCCGTGCCATTCAGGCTTCGGCCTCAAAAGCCCCCCCAGTGGCTCCACCGCAGCGCCCGAGTCGGGATGTCTCCTCATCCCCTCCTCCCCAATCCGTGGCTGCCGATGACGAAGAGGAAGATGGCGAGTTACCGGGATTGGTACACTCGGGATCTGTGTTGTCTCTCGGGATCGAGAGATCACCTACCCACGACGCCTATGAGGCTGATCCTCCATCTCCCACTGACAATGTCCGAGCCTTTGCGGATCAAATGGCTCGCATGGCTGATGCTCTAGGCCTGGAGGTCAAGCAAACTTCCAAGGCAGTGCTGGACCCGGTGTTTAAAAGGGTGCAAGCAGAGTCCCCACCCGCTCCTCTCCTACCCTTCCTTCCCTACCTCCTTGAAGTGATCCAGGGCTCTTGGAAGACCCCCTCCTCCATCCCTCATTGTTCCAGAGAATGTCTGACGAGGATCGCACTGCCCTCTCCACCCTGGCTCAAGAGGCGAACTCTCTGGCACATCATCAGATGCAGATGGCCAAACACACGAGGGACACTGCGGGCAAGATGATTGCTCACGCCGTGGCAATCAGGAGGCATGCCTGGCTTAGATCCTCTGGCCTCTCTACATCGTCGAGGCAGGTGATCGAAGACCTTCCGTTCGATGCCCTGGGGCTATTCAATGCAGGAACGGACGACAAACTGAAGTCAAATCACGACTTCAAGACCTTGGCTTCTAAGTGTGGGTTCGAGAATCAGAACCAGGCGCAGAGGACCAGATGGTTCCAGTACAAACGCCGACACACGGTCCCGTACCGCACCATACAGTACCGCCAACCAGCCCGTCCCCTGCATACCTCCCAACAAACCCACCCTCAACAACCCCAACAGCAAAGGAGGCAGCACCAGCAGCAGCGTTCGTGGTCCCGTCAAGCTTCTGGAGGCAATCAGGCCAGGCGCCGCATTTGACGCCCTAATGGACGATACCGTTTGCTCTTTCGTTACAGATGTTGTTCCCATGTCCCTCCCAATGGTACCCGCCCTCATCCTTCCATCCTGATCGACACCATTCGGGGATCGCCTGACAAACTTTCTCCCTGCATGGGAAAATATCTCCTCAGATGCATGGGTTTTAAAGATTGTCGACGAAGGCTATGCATTGGAGTTCGAAGAGCTCCCACCAACAGGGCAGATTGTTGATACCGAACCATCCTCGGCAATTCTGACAGAGGTCGAGACCTTGCTTCTGAAAGGGGCAATTTCCCCTCTTCCGGACTCTCAAAACCATCGAGCCTTCTTCTCCAGGTACTTTACTGTCCCGAAGCCGGATGGCTCCCTCCGTCCAATCCTCGATCTCAGAGACTTAAACTCCTTCATCGAACCCCAAAAGTTCCGGATGGTGACGGTATCGTCCATTCTTCCTCTCCTCAGATACGGAGACTTCTTCGCGTCCGTCGATCTCCGGGACGCTTACTTCCATCTCTCAGTCAGAAAACATCACAGACGCTTCCTGGCCTTCAGGGTAGTGGGACAGACGTATGCCTTCAACGTGCTCCCGTTCGGGCTCGTGAAGGCATCGAGAACTTTCACCAAATGCATGTCGGTGGTCGCAGCAGCCCTCAGAAGGGAAAAAATCCGCATTTTCCCATACCTAGACGACTGGTTGTTGGCAGCACGCTCCCCGGACCTCCTGCGAACGCAGGTGGCAAGGACGCTTTCCCTCCTCGAAGACCTGGGCCTCCAGCTAAACGAGGAGAAATCTCATCTCGAGCCCACCACTTACATAAAGTTCATCGGCACCATGTTCGATTCTCTCTCTCAGTCAGTTTTCCTTCCAGAAGAGAGATTCAGGGCTCTTCGAGCCGAAGCACTCAAAGTGCGTCGAGCCCGAGTGGTCCCGGCGAAGCAGATTCAGGTCCTCCTCGGGCATATGGCCTCCACGGTGATGGTGACACCATTGGCGAGACTCCGCTTCCGTCCCCTCCAGAGATGGTTTCTGGACCACTTCAATCCCATGCGGGACAGTGCTGCGAAGCGCTTGCTGATACCAAAGTCGGTAAAGGACTCCCTGAGCTGGTGGATGAATTGCCAGCATGTCTGCAGAGGCATTCCATTCCACCCAGAACCCCCAGCTGTCACGATCACGACGGACGCCTCGATGTTCGCATGGGGATGCCATA